GAAATTTGGATGAAAATGTCCCTTAAGTGATGCTCCGACATTGTTTTGCTTATTTTAAACCAGTTTAAAACTAGTTTAAAATTTGCGGTCTTCGTTTCTTTTTACAGTGAGCATAAGAGCCTTGTTTTCCTTACAAGTCGTAAAATGGGTGCAACCCTTAAGTTAGGAGCTGACACGAAGTGACGCCGTGTATAAAGTTTGCATCAGTAAAATAAGGTTGTGCTGGCTGACATGACCTGATCCAGACCAAACCGAACACCAGTGTCTTTTTCGTACAGTCACTGGGAGTAGATTCCTCTACAAGGCTATAAACATATGACATCGATCGGTATTCCACACACCCAGACAGAGAAACGATGTTTTGCCTCATCTAGGGGAGATGATCATTGTCTAAACAGATGGTGTCAGAGCGATTGCGGTCGCTGACCACTACTGAAGTTCACGCTTGAGTAACCCATGCTTACACAAACAAAACGGGTTATCATATGGTTCTGTTGCATCTGAACTAACCGTCGACAGAAACTGTACTTTGAAAAATCCTACAGCTAGTGCGACGTCTCTGTCTACTCATGCACACTTCCTATAGACGGGTAGTCCAGCCACAGTTTTACTTCTTTTATACACCCAAAGAATGATCATAAATCTCACGAAATCAAAGTATAATGAGGACCCAAACTGAGGGAGTACGGTTCTGATCCTGAAAAGATTGATGTGGATTCAGTAGTATAGTCCTCAACATAGTTGCTTACTATCAAACATCTATTGCTGAAAATTTTCCGGCAGCCAGCAACAAGCTTTGTACTTATTGGAGTTCATCAGGTTGGAGCAGTTTCCGTCAAGTTCTTGTTCTACTCGAACCCGAATTGGGCGTAATTCGTGAACTACACTTATTTGTGTACAAATGTGGTCGTGACAGGAGGCTCGAATGTACTTACCTGGATCTCGTATTTCCGTGATCCGTATTGTGATGCTTATGTATTCGCAGCCTAAGTGGGTGAGAGCATCATCATAGCCAATAGACATGCCCTTTCCCTAGACTTAGAGTTTTCTGGAAACTGCTAGATTGAATTTGCTGACATAGGCATGCGAATTTCTTGACTAAGGCATGCTTCTGAAGCCAAAAGGCCAGAAATTGGCAAAAGTGTTTACGAATAATACGCAAGTTTAGGTGGCGATGGTTTTGAATGAATGAAATGGGCAAACCTGCGAATAAAACGATCAATTTGTCTGGCTATACAAACCAAAAATGATTGATTGACTGATTGAAAGCGGGCAAATTTGATTGCTGCCTCAGGACGATCAATCATTACTGACAAAATTGTCTTGAACACTGTGCTGTGGACAAAACTCGGCACAAGAAAATGTTGATGGATCACTATCCTGTTCTGGCTACCTCCAATCGGCCTAATTGAGGAGCGCTTGGTCTCGAAAAAAGCGGGAGCGATTTCCCTTAAGGCATTTCTGTTCGCCAATCGGTCTCTCATAGGACACTGAAACTGCGTTGAGATCAAGTTTATAGAATTGAAAAACAACTAAGCATGAAATGCATTCGTACCCCTGTCTTAGGGTGTTTTCTTGCGAGGTCGGTTCGAGCAACATGATTTTGTCTTTCAGAAGTACTTTGCATCGTATTCACTTTCATTAAAAATGGGTCTGGTTGAAATAACCAGCTTTATAGCCACAACGAAGTATCATTTTCTGCTGCCCGTGCATTTGATAATTGAGTTTCCCTGGCACACTGGCTTCATGACTGATCCGCGGGAGACTGCATGAAACCCAGACATGCTGGTTATTACTGAGAACCTGATGACCGATTAACTTTGTAGTTCGAATGAGCAGCTCATTAGATTTCACTCACAATAAATTACTGAATGCACAGCGAAATTAAACAGTGTTATCCACGTACCTTTGGACAGGGTTAATGGTGGCTGAGCCCGCACTAAAAGGATTCCTGTTGTGTACCTCAAATTAGTCAGGCTTCCATTCCAACTGTATACTATATTCCCTATTTGACGTACGCATTGGTTCGTAGTACATGGCTTGGCCAGTGGACCAGATTTTTGAGCGGAAGGTGGGAAATGAGTCTGAATGGCACCTGTCTTTAATGGTGCTTTCAAGCTATTAAAACGCACGAAAACCTATGACAAATGAACCTGTCCAACGCTGTCCAATGATGTGTAAAAATATGATGCAATTCCTCTGTGAATTCGCCCGGTACGCTACGTAACAGGTCGTGGGAGGTTAGATAAAGAACCAGTAAATAGAGGCCTCCTATTTTCATACAGTAAAATATGATTGAGTTTACATGGTGAGTTGATTTAAATATTTAATGGGCGAAATTTTTACTACAGTGGTTTTGTTTCGCACTTCAAAGCAAACTCTTCGCTTCTTGTTTTGCTGAATCATGCAGTTTAGCGTATATTGTTGTTCGTTTCATGCGGTTCGCTTGTTGTCCAAACGTCATCACTCTCAGAGTGTGATTACTGTATCTAATTATACTAATTGCATGGTTTCTCTGCACCTGAAAACCCACTGTCTTCATTTTCTGCAATTCCAAAGGCAACTGCTTTTTCGGTGTACGTTTTGTGGCCACTGCATGAGGTTCAAGGGTTGGAATCTATGCCCCATTTTGTGCAACGAGTTGGAGGATTCTCGTGAGTAAAATTACTCTAAAACGACAGTAGTGACGCACTGATAACGACGAAATCAATTGTGCCACCTGCGTTTCAGTGTTGTGCGGGCCGGTAGGGGAGTTATACCAGTGTATGTTTGACCCCTACATGTATAAATGGCTATATGATAAAATGAACTGCATAGCGTGATGATTCAGGGGTGCCTGCATTCGTAAGTCCTGCTAGACACCGACCGAAACTTTGGTAACCTTTCTGATAGCAAGCTGTGTGTACGAACCTGAACATGGTCAGTGTCACATTACAATCTCTCATTCGTGAGTAAAGAGATAACCTGACACCTCCATCAAAAGCACATTAAGATTATAACAAATTGGTCGACCACGATTCTCCTAAATTGTTTAGGAATGCACAAAACACATGAACCTCCTAGAGTAAACGAGGACTTCACCCTGAAATACACCGTTAAGTGCTTGTTAATCCTTTCGCCTGGTAACGGCAAGGTGCACTGTTCATATTATTCACGTAAAACTATTGTTTTACGGCAAATGTGTTTGTATTACGGGTATACGTTTGTTGGAGCAATTTAAGTGTCTCCAATACAATAAAATCTTGCACAGCCTTTGTCCTCCAAGTTTGAGTCCCAATTTTGTGAAAGTTCTTTTCAGAAACTCTTATTTATGCAACTGATTATACTAATGCATCAGAAGGTCCAGTACGTTCAGGTGAAATGTCGCGCACAAGAGTCCAAACAAAGGCCGACTCTTTCGTGGGTGCTATTATTACGTTGATGAGCTTTGATCCACCAATCAAAAGTGACTTCTCTGAGGGGGTTACATCCGGCGCTTGGTGGACTTGAAGGGCGAGTAGTTATCAAATGCCGGGGTTGCTTTACGTCGTTGCCAGTAAAATACACGGTTGCAACAAATACACGACTGCTTTCTTAGTGTAATTCCCTTCAATTAGCGTTAGAAACATTCGAAGAAAACGTTTTTCAACAAAATTTTCCCACCAATGTCCACGTGGTTTCAAAACGATAGAACCAACTCTGTCAGGCATGAAAGTGCGAAAACATAATACCGGCTTTGTGCTGTTCACGTGACTGTGAAAACTTGGCATAGTTTGAAATTGATGTTGTAACCCTAGTAGCTAGAACGTTAAATAATTACTCACTGTAAAATAGCCCTTTGTTTTTGCATTGGCTTGTAAAAGCACGCTTTCCATTGCTTAGAACCGGAAGATTTTTTCTTTATTATGCTTGGTCAAATGCAGAAACTATTTTCCATTTCTTGGTAATCGTTTTTGGCAGTCCTCAAAGCATCCCTGGGTGATTCAAATCAGAATCCATTAGAGGCCCTAGTACCGTTGTTGAATTTATTTTTATTAATCGGGGCAAGTCGTAAATTACAAAAAACACTGACCTTAATCTTGAGTTATCGAGAATAGAGCCGATGAATTATGCAACTTTTCTTGACCCACTGCTTGCCGCAGATGAAACCAAAGGTTCGTCAGCACATCTTTAAAATGCATATGCGGCGGTCGGGCAATTCGATCACCATAACAAAGTCCACTGGAAATGCTGATCCTGAGCGAGCTTTAACACCCTTCCGGTGCTTAGATCCCGTGCCACCAAAGTAAGAACGAAGGCTGAGTTGCTGCCAGTTTTCTGATGGGTTTGAACCACGCGGTCGGTGTCCACGTCCTAACTGTCGATATGACCGGAATTATCATTCTTTTGAAAAAAAATCACTCGATAATTATGTGTGGTAATAACTCTAGCTGCGAACTTCATAAATCTGACATTTTCATGTTTATCAGTCTCGATAGCCCAACTTTCGCTTCAAATAAATTTAAATCCTGTAATTCATTGCAAGTGAAAATCAAACGATAGGGTTAATACTGAACGTGCTGGGGGTAAACTCACATGGTACATTTAGCAGTTTCTCACCTTCGCTCATTGAATGTCATTCGACAGAATAATCTTTGCACACAAAAACACCTCGTTAGGTTGCCGCGGAACTCAGCATGCCAAGGCTAGTTTAGGAGGTTTGTTTTCGGCTTTTTGCTAGTCTTAGGTAGACCTTAGGAGTCTTAAGGTAGCTGGTATTTTACGCTATAATTGTTATTTGTTTATATATTCTGTTAGTTGTCCTAATCAGTACTGCAAATTAAGAAAACATAATTCCTTTTTGAATTAATAAACCATGGCGTCTAAAATTTGAACAGCTTAAAATAGAGAGAGATGATTCCTATGAACACTGTACTTTTGTTCTATCTGAATAAATCAGCAAGGCTTTACCGCACTAAATAGACAACAAAACAGTTCTGAAATCGTGCTGATCTGCTGTAATTTTGATTCCTTCGTTTTAGATACTCTTTCACGGTTCTGTCAATCGAGACCTAGAAAATGCAAAGTGTGGAACAGACTATTCAAAATCCGCCGCAGTCTTTCATCGTCTTTTTCCTCTGCTTTTCTCGACTGTCCTCAGCGCAGCTGTTCGAAAGGATCACCATAGTGGAAAACAGTCCGTTGAATACCGACATACTGGATATCAGAGCCGCACTCGTCCGACATGGCGAAGGCCAACTGCCAGAGAACGCTACAGCTTACGCCAGTCAGCAGAAATTGTTCTGGCCATTCGCCCTAGACAATTTTGTTTTACGGCTGATTCGGCCGTTGGATCGCGAAGCTGTATGTCAATTACACCAACAGAAATTTCATCGATTGGACAAACCACCTGGGCAAAATCCCCCTCTGTCGGCATCTTTCGCAAACGATGGATGTCTGGCTGGTGCTTGTTGTCAGCTGCTGCATGTAAATATTCTCCCTCTACCGACTGCATTACCAAAAGCTTTTTTCATACAAGTTGTGGTTCAAGATGTGAATGACAATGCTCCTCGTTTTCCGGTAATTCACTCACCCTACACAGTAGTTCATGAAGACAGTGGTCTAGAAGAACGTATCTGGTTACCACAAGCTATTGATCCAGATAGTTCACAATATAGCGTAACCGAATACCGCACGGAAAACTGGGTTCATGGGAATCAATCACATTTTCAGATTGGAGTTGATGAAGAGCGAACGACAAGCGTGACGCCAAGAGACCAGTATTCCCAGATATATGGTGTGCCAGTGGTGCAGCGAATAGCAACAACAGCTTCCGGAAGACCCTACCTTATACCGACTGCTCCTTTGGACAGAGAACTATGTGATTTATATGCGTTCACTTTGATCGCTGTGGACGGAGGTGATCGAAATGCAATTGATGTTACCGCATCCAATCGAGCACTCACTGGATCTGTTTATGTTGTGATCAAAGTTGCTGATGTCAACGATAATCGCCCTACCTTTGACCGTCCTCACTATGAAGCGAAAATTGTGGAAAACTTCATGCCCGCAAATATTTTTACTTTTGAGGTCGTAGACAAGGATATTGGAGAAAATGGACGCGTATCAATAAGCATCCAGGATACGAGTAGAACTGCTGAACAAACGTTTCGGGTTAGTTTGCAGGCAGTCCATAATCCAACTTATCAAACTTCTGGTTCCCATACAAAACCGCATCAGACACTTCCGAGTGGATCACATTATCGTGGATATGTCCAGCTAATCAGCCGCATAGACGCTGAACGGTTTCCACCCTTCCTACAATTTAGCTTAGTTGCTAATGATTTTGGGAAACCAAGTTTATCCTCGAGTGCGGATGTGCAAATACAGATAATTAATATCAATGACAACGCTCCAAATATTGCATTTTTCAGCCGTGGTAAGCGACTCACAGACGGTCGCATTTTACTACCTGAAGTTACAACGCCTCCAAGATCATTAGTTGTTCTTGTGCACGTGACAGACGAAGACTCTCCAATCTCACAGTTTCGTTGTCAGATTATCAGTGAAACTGAGATGTTCTCACTGGATGAAGCAAGTAGCCATGGATTTCCATCCTACCACTCAGACGTTATATTTGAGTCAGCGTTGGAATCTAGAGGAATCGTAGCCAGTTATCGACAGTACGCGATCCGAACAAAGAAGGAACTCGATAGAGAAACAAGAAGTTATTATGTGGTAAGTTAAACTAATGCTTGTGCTACAGCCTTGATCTGTTCTTTTCTTCTCGCACTATATCCCTTTTCGGTTAGAAGGGTCTCATCTCAAGTGCGGTAACAAGTGTCGTTGAAGATGAGCACACCGTGTGCGATTGAGTAGGGTGATATGCGGAAAGGCTTAATAATTCCAAAGAAAACCAGGCTGATTTCATATTATTACGATGAAATTTAGAAATAGGTAAAAGTGCATTGGGTCTGAAACCAAGTGTCTGATTTCCGAATTTGATCAACACCTTTCCGAAGGAAAATGATCCGTTCAGGATGCATTGAATTATTTGAATCGATTGTACCAGGAAATATAAACGGGATGCACTGACCTCGTTGTATTACTTGCAATGAACTGATTTGTCACAGCTTGAAGGAACCGGAAATTCCAACAGTGCAATCGGCCGCTCAGAAGCTGGCCACATAAGTGGACTTTGTAGTTTTATGTGCAAGGTGCATTTTGTTGTATCACGTGCCGTTCGGAACGGTCAAAGTGGAATACAGTAATGAAATTCAAATACAAGCGATTTGTCTGGTAAACTTCCCAACAAATACGCAGGTATATGCTATTGACTTGTCTTGAAGAAAAACACGATATTTTCACCACTAGATCTTCAAAGAGCACAAGAACATTTCTAGGTATGAGATGTAAAATGTAGAGGGGTTTTAGAACTATGCAACAAAAGAACCGACTCACGTTTTTTCGAAAGGAAATGCCTGAATAATATGGTCACTAGTTTGTAAAGCCATCCAGCAATGCTTGCTTCCACAGGTATTTAAACCAGTTTTCATCTAGGCCATACTTATGGTTGTTTGCACACCCGAGTCAGCATACATTTCATAACCAGATAAGATTCCCAATTTATCATCATTTTTTGTGGTCAGCGTTTTCAACCTAATATGCCTCTATTACCATTTTTATTACTCACCTTTCATAGAGAAGATTATCTCATACTACAAAACTGAGAATGTAAGATAAACTGATAGATACCTGTAATGTCTTTGGAAATTGAAGAATTTTTGAACCTCACCTATGTTCTGATGACTGTACATTTAATACTCAATCAACATTACATTGTTGATGCAACGGAGAATTTTTTGGTCAGTTACCAAGAACAGTGATTTGCTCAACGCCCGACCTATCAGAAGCGAAATTTTGGGTAGTAGGAAAATATTCGGGAGAAAATGACAACTGTAGAAGAGAACATTTCATTAGAAGCCAGACTGAATTTCCCACAGCACTATGCGGTCATTCTAATTTTGGGGTATTTTCGCTGGTATCGAGGCATTCTTATGCAGACAATTAACTGATTAAAGCCACTTTTAACGGAAAATACTGCACCGATTTACAAACTGCCGACCAATAGCTGTCATTCTGATATAGTGATCGAATTTTAATGTTTTAAGCATCCTGCAGTTTAAACTGACTGGAACCTCTTGCTTCGAGTTTTAAACAAATGTGGAATGTTAGGAGTAGCAACAAAACCGAAAGAAGTACAAGCATACAAGCAATTATAACATGTGGGTTACTTTTTACTGTCCTCCGCTACACAACTGTGGAGACAGTTAGGTATTTCTTCGTAATCAAGACATCAGAGATGCTGTTTTCTTCACAAGAAGTGACGGGATAGAAAAGGTCTGTCCTGAAGCTCTTGCTCCCCGATCATCCAAAGGCTAACCGTAACCGTTGGCGCATCATTCAATGCAGTCGAAACGTTGACTTCGGGCTGGTTTCATCAAGAAAACATTAAAAGTCTTCGCTTCGCAGGTCAGTTGGAGGCTCAAGTTGGGGTGCTTATTTCTGGTCTGCCAGGAGGTACCACCCGCCTACACGGCTTTGGAGCAGGGGCTTATCTTCTTATTCATTCAATACCACGCCCATTGTCACCTCTGGCAGCGCAAACGTGTCTGATTGTAGCAGTAATAGTAAGTCCAAAACGCGCACTGCCAACGAGGGAGGTGTGTTCGGCGTACCAGCTTTTCGTGCCTGCATTTTTGCTAAATATCTACTGCTCACACCCTTTCCTCTTTGAAAATCGATATTTTCTATGATTTTTAAATAAGCGTAAAGGACCCAAAAGCTGAACATGGTTTAAGACAACTCACTTTATTCAGTTTACTCTCCGGGTGTCGGGTGATCTAGAAGCCGCTGTATGTCGTTTCAACGATGGGGATATTGCGTTGGGTATGAAAGCTCTGTGTTCGAATGGAAATCTATGAACAGCTGAGCAGGTGCAATCTAGCTTGTCGGGTCAGACAGTATCCGCAACAGACTTCTCACAACCCGAAATATACTCGTTTCTCTTGCATACGCTGCAACAAACCGCAGCAGTGATAGAAGCATAGGTACTTCTGCGAATGGACAATTGTATGGAATGCTGTAGCGGGCAATTTGAATGCCTGGTTTAGAAGACTGTATATAAATCAGACCTAGCTTGGTGGAGGATTAGATGTAGGTGAATATACACTCATTTGCAAACCAATTTGGTTCTTTCGAGAGACTCACCTGGAACCCAGCTGAATCTCTCGTTTATGATGTTCTCAGGCAACTGAATGTGCTGCACCAGGCCGCCTTATGTTTCAGTCGCTACGATATTTGAAATATCGTGATACATGTATATCTTTGTAAGGTACTACTTATAAGGTTGGGTTTTCGACGGATTTTTAGCAACCTTATAATAGTACATTACACAAAAATTGGCCTAGTTTGGAACGACAGCTCAAGACACGATGAACCCGGCTATGTCTCATAGTGATCAGTGTTGGATAGTACATATTGGATGATGAGGTAACGTCGAAGCTAACGTCCAGTGAAGAAGTTTCGTTCGAAAGAGCACCCGTAAACCACTGACTGATTGATGATGACTGATAGATGTAGGTGCTTCCAGAACCGATAACCGCAATCGCTTTCTACAACAGTGTGCTGTGCTACATGCACAAACAGCTAGCTCTAGTGTAAATATCGAGTCACCCTCCAAATAATAAACAACGGAGTTCTCAGATTGACCACACAATAAACGCCACTTGTTGGCGATCTAGCGCTCAATACCGTTTTCTTTTGTGGAACATATATAAAGGGTCACAACCTGGTTCGTGATTGCTTTGCAGTTTGTATCTCATCGATAATACAGAAGACCAATCATCATTGCCTACAAATCTCCGTTTTCCAAGAACCATAACACTGACCCTTATCAAGACAACTTGCAGGCAGCAAAAGAGAATATAATTCAAGACTATGTGCGTTCTAAAACTGGGCCTTGGTGCATTACAAGTTTGATCTCACATGGGTTAGTGTCCCCAATCGATGCAAGGGAGACAGTACGATTTATTCATTTTTCTAAGGCCACCCCTTACCGGCAGTCAAAAGAGTGACCAGGGGAAGTACTACCTAAAGAAAGTCTAAAAAAAGGAGATGGTAGCGCCGATTGTAAATAGTCGAATTATTATCCAACTCCTTTACGATACCTGGCCAAGAAAGCCGTTGGTCATTGGAATGATTATAGAGAAATGCGGTGTATATTTTCATTCCAGATCCCACACCCAGCTTCAGTTGTGGCAACGTTTCAAAAGACAACTTTACTTTTCTGAGGTGCCTAGATTAACAAACAAACTAGCGCCAGGTCCACAGTGGGACGTGAACTGCACGGTTCCATCAGAAGATGAGGTTAAAAATTGAGAGTTGTGAAACCACTAAGGCATTCGGTCCTGATTGAACTTTCTCGATGAAGACGAACGACTCGTTCACAATCTGACGAATTACGTGCAGGGATTTTTGGAAGGCTATTAAAGTGCCAGAGGAATGGCAAATATCCAATGTCGTTCCTGTGTTCGAAAAGCGATTAAAGTACAAGTTGAGAGTCACTTTGGTCACTGCCGCTTCTAGTTGGTCACAGGCGTTATTGTGCGCAGAACTACTGGCACTCGCAAAAGGTATGGAGGTGAAAAGTGAGTTGAGTTCCACCCAGGTCGTGGGTGCATTGACGATGTCTTTACCCTAAGACATTGAAATTTGAAAAAAAATTGTTCAGCTGTGGCGCCCTTTCGTTGCCTAACTGCCATGCCACCCGAAGGTTGCACGAGGGCTGGGATACTGCCAGGTTGCCCAAGCCTAAACAGGGGAAGTCGAGAGGCGGAGGTCGGGTTCGAACCACGGACCTTCCGGTCAGTAAATTCGCGCTCTACCTACCAGGGCCATCTCACCTTAAGACAACTTCTCGGATACCACCAGACAGAGTATTGCCATCGCCATCAAAGTGACAAAAGCGGCTTTTAACTCAGTCGATCTTGCTCCTTCAAATAAGTTACCTAGCTTTTAACACAGCACCCATTAGTGCTCTTGAGTTGGTCATCAAGACTACTGATTGTCGCTTTCCTTCCCTAATTCTTAGTGGGGTTATTTGTTGAAGGAAAGTAGACTGTCTTCTAGATTTGATGTATTGCGCTAATTGGTTCCGATTTCATTAAGATGCAAAAGAAACTCAGTAATTTCACTGGTGCCGCTATGCGTTGCGGTATGCTCTTTGGAGCTTAGAAGGGCTGTCGCAAAACTGGGAAAGCGGACCGCCAAAGCTGGTTATTGTATCAGAACCATTAGGGGTAGTAAGTTTACGTATCTGGGTAGCTGCTTCACGTTGTGTCGCTGGTGAATGGAATCCTAGAATTACACAGCCCATTCTGCTTTTCCTCAACTTAAGTACCTTTTGATTCGATGCGACAGCAGCCTGTCAGTGAAAGTCTGGATCTACAGCGCCGCAGCGCTCCCAGGTTTGCTTCACATCCATGAAGCCTGGTCGCATTGAAGGTAAGAAAAGATTGCTTGTCCTTGGTCATCCGTGCCTCTGAGGCATAGCACACTTATCAGGAGAATATTGAATTAGCAATGTTGGACTGCAGTGAGCTTTTCGCCTAAAACTGGACTGATTTGACTGCGCCGACTAAGCTAACTTGGCCAAGTGCTCCGATCGATCGACTGCC